CCGCCTCCTTAACTCTTCGCAAACACGGCGCTGACATCCCAGCTGGGAGCGGGCTCGGACACTGCCTGGAGACTGCCCGGGCCCGGCCTCCCACCAGCATCTCTCTTCCTGAGCCGCCGGTCGGCCAGCACGGCCTCGGACCGCTGCATCTCGCTGCACGCCATCGGCATCGGGATGGCATGGGCATGGGCACTGCCCTCCTGGCGTCTGCCTCTCCCAGCCACAGTGCTGCTGCTGCTGCCTGTGGGGGTCCCTGCCTGCCCCTTCCCCAGCTCCAGACTCATCGACACACTCCTGGGGTCTCCTTGGAGTTCACAGAGCCCTGGCGTGGGCCAGGTGAGTCCCCACCAGGTCCCTCCACCTCCAGGACGATGGTGATGTGGTTCCTTTGCAGTGCCCAGAGTTTTGGGGTGGGTGAGTGCATCTCCGGCAGCTGGTGGTACCAGGTCATACCACAGCTCTGCCACCTCACTGGCTCCTCTGTGCCCTTCTGAACAGTCCCTGCCCCAGGGACAGTTAAGCCTGTGACCATCCCACAGCATCCAGCCCCATCCCAGCCTGTTGCACATCTTTATTAGGATTCATAGAAGCTGAGTTACCCCCAACACCCGCACAAACCAGGACGGCCCCATCTTCATCTGCTTGTCCTGGACAGCGCAGCGTACATTCTGAAGACAGGAGGACATGTAGTGGAGAGGCTTATAATGAAGAAAAGTGGTAACAGTTCCAAAAAGACACATCCGGCCAGGTTCTTCCCTGTCACCCATGGCTCCAGCTGCCATATGCACTTCTGGCGTGCTGTCGAGTCTCTGTCCCCCAGGTCAGGAGTGGGCCCTCCACAGGATCCCATGGCTTGAGGCAGCCAGGCAGTGTGCCAGCAGCTGTCACCAGTTATACTCCATGAGTCCAACGCTGTTCAGCCAAGCTCACAACTTCTCCTGTGGTGTTTCACTGATGTCTGGAAAAAGGATGAGCTCTTATGCTGGATTTAGCTGCCTTTCTGGAAAGTGATCATTGTGAGATGTGAACCTAATGGGAATCAGGATATGGCCATGCCAGACTCACTGTTATTATTTCTACTGCAGCCAAAATGTTCCTGCCCTGCATAGGAAGCTGCAGCCCAAGGGAAGCAATGCTCAGTTGGGGTGGCACAGCCCAACAGAGCTGGTGTCTCCTCTTGGCAGGGGGTGTCCAAATGTTTAGGAAACAGGAGGTCCCTTGGTTACTGAGTTCCACCTCTGCTCCACGTGCTCCACCTCTTCTGCCCGTCTCCATCATGAACACAGAGCAGATGCTGGCAAGGGGAGACATGAGCAGAGACCATGGTATTCCCCCAGAAATTCCCCACCAACCCTGTTTGGATGTAACAGCCCTTAAAAAGTTTCTCTTCCCCCAACTTGTCCCCTGAGCCCCCCCGAACCTATCAGTGGGGTGTCCAGCTCTGTACAGCCCAGCAGCCCTGGCTGCTCCCTGCATCCCTCTCCTCCCCAGCCCTGCAAAGTGCAGCTCTCCCAGCAGTGGCTCCGCAGCCTCCCAGACTTGCTTTCGCTGCCTGAGTCACTGAAACAAACCGCAGGCAACGGAAAACAAGCCCCGGAGACAGCGGGGTGAGGTGGGGAGCGTGCCAGAGCCACCACCCCGTCCTCTTCTGGCAGCCTGGGTGACCATGATACTCCTCCAGCAAACCTGCACGGTGGAGGGCATGGAGGGGGGTCTGGGCTGAGGGACATTGCATCAGCCCAGAGTGGGGAGGGCTGCAGTAGGGATCAGGCTGAGAAATAGGTTTAGGGCTGCAGGAGCTGGAGAAGGGGGTGCTTTCGAGGGCACTGGGGATGGAGACACCTAGGTCCCTGGGAAAGCCGGTGGGTGGGGTCTAAAAGTGGGACATGAGGGGACTGGGTCTTTGAGTGATCTGGGATCAGAGGTGTGCAGAAGGGCAGGGAATATCAGATCCTAAGATGTGGCAAGCCCTGTGTCCATGTGGAGCTTTGGGGACCCGAGTGATGTGACCCCAGGTTCATGGGGGAGCTGGGGCAGACCCAGAGGATGAGGAAGGCAGGGTACATGAGAAATCCAGGAAAAAGGGACCCATGTCCATGGGGGAGCAAGTGACTAGGCTGTAGGTCTTAGGAGAATCTAGGAGATGAGGTTTCAGGTCTATGGAGTTACTGGGGACAGAGCCCTGACATCTGGAACACCCAGCTAGAAGCAGCTGCAGGTCCCTCTGGCTGCAAGAGGCTGCAAGTCTGCCCCCCATCCCCTACTCCAGAGCTCTCCTCCCACCCCAGGTGGAACAATAAGGACCCCAGACTTTGCACTGACCCCCACAGCGCACCCCTACCCCCCCCATCACAGCCAGGTGCCCGGGAAAGCTTCACCTGTGAGCCGGTGTTGTGGAGCGGAGCCGAGCTGACGTGGCCCTGGGCTGGCAGCGCCTGGCCAGGTGTGCCGGAATGTGTTTGTGCTGGGGGAGAGGCCGTGGGGCCGTGCTGGGGTGGGGCCAGTGGGGAAACGGAGGAGACAGGGCAGGGCTGGGGTGACCCTGCAGCCAGGATGCCATGTGGGATGAGGATACACAGCTGCTGAGTCTTCTGCACAGCACCACTGGGGCTGGAGGGGACAGGGGGCGTGCAGGGATACGCTTGTGTGCTCATCGTGTGCAGCTCACACACACACACCAGGGCTGGGGTCTCTGCACACTGCTGGGAACCCTTCTGGGACACTCCCTGTCTCAGGGCCAAGCATGCTTTTAGCAGGGTGGGCATCTGAGGCACTCAGAATTGTTCCAGCATGCATCTGTGTCCTGGGTGTGGGAAGCACCTAGGGACCGAAAGCCTGTGCCCCAGGAGGGCTTTGGAGTGCCAGAGCAGGATAGAAGACAAGGAGGAGGTGAGGAGGAGGAAGTAATGTCCTGGATGCAGGGAACACCTCGGGATGGATAGCCTGAACCCCAGGAGGGTTCAGTGTGCCAGAGCCAGATGGAAGAGGAGGAGGAGGCTGGGAAAGGGTGCTGGAGGAGGAGGAGGCTGGGTGGGGCTCCCGGTGTCCCGGAGCCGGATACTGGCACGGATATGCTGGCGTGGCAAGGCTGGGGGAGGACACACACACACCTGCGAGCATCGAGCCAAGCCCCCTACCACTTGTGGAGCACTACCCTCAGACCTCCTTCCCCTGACCCTGCACAACCCACCTTCCCCCCAGCCCCTCTGCACCAGTGCCTCCAAACCTGACGCAACTGTGGCTGCCCCATTTGTTGTCAGTGTCCCATCCTGCTTCAGATGATCCCTATGTTCTTCCTCCTTTCCAGGCCCACAGAAAGCAGGGACACCCTTCTCTCTGACAGAGGGGTGCAGAGGAGGGCAACCTTGAGTTTGCAGACTTTGTAGCAATCAATTTCCCTGGCAGAGAATCAATTGATCCCAGGAGGAGAACCCAGGCACAACCTTCTTGGATGCCCCTTCCCACCTCCAGCCCTTTCTTTGCTCAGTAAGTTCCCATTTTCCCAGCCAGAGCATCACAGCAGCAGAACTGTGCAGGACACGAGGTGGGGTGCAGAGAGCTCAGCCCAGGGTGGCGCTGGCCATGAGCCCAAAACTGCCTGGGGAAGGGGAAACCCCACCTTCCACCCCACCGAGGGCCCTCCCAGCATGGCAGCCCCCTGAGGAGCAGAGCAGAGGCAGGAGCACTCTTTTTTTTTTGACAAATGCCTTTATTTGCTACTGGATAGAGGTCTATTGCACAGCAGCCTGGAGGCTGCAGGGCACACAGCCCTGCCCCTGTTCAGTGCTGGACACGGCGGATGGATTGGATCTGGTTGGTGTGGGCCTGGCTGCTGTATTCATTGTACTTCTTGAACTCGCCGTTCTGTCTGTCCCGCTCCAGCACGTACTGGTAGCCCCTGTATCCTGGGTACTGGTATGCCACCCACCTGCAGGCAGACCCTTGGCTCAGAGCCCCAAGCCAAATCATCCCATCCCATCCCATCCCATCCCATCCCATC